CCACCCCCACTACCCAGCTACCTGTACATGGCGGCGTCCTGGGGTGCTTACGTGTTCATCTCAAACCTCATACCCTTGTATGTATTGGCGCTTATAGGCACCAAGAGGTGAGCCAGGTTTACATACACACACACACACACACACGCACGCACACACGCATGCATGCACGCACGCGCGCGCACACACACATACACATACACATACACACACACACGCACGCACGCACGCAATCATGCATGCATGTGCACACGGCCGCACGCAATCATGCATGCATGCGCACGCGCATGCACAGCCATGCATATCAGTACGCACGCACGACATGCGCCCACTCATGCACACACGCACACACAAGTAGTTTGGCATCACTCATCATCTCATCCACTCTCTCACCCCAAACAGGTACCACAAACGCGTGTACGTCGCCTTCACCACGTTCTGGGCCATCGGCGGCCCCCTGGCCATGCTGGTGCGCTTCATCGGGTCAAACCACGTCACCAGCCACGAGCTACTCGCGTTCAACGGGGTGTGGGTCGGCCTGCAGGGCTGGGAGCTGCTGCTGTGGATGAGGACGAGGTGGGCACGTTGTTTATGGGTATCCTTGGGCTGCAGATGGTGTTAAGAGTCTGGTGGCGAGCGTGAGCATGTTGATTCTGGGCAGCGCTCCTGTGGCCCAGGAGTGGGTGCGTTTTGTGTACGGGCCGCTTGGTGGCGTGCTAATTCGCGGGGTGTGTGAGTCGGTTGCATTCAGCTGGTCTGCAGTGGTTTCAGTGCTGGCAGCTGGTGCGGGAAAGTCGATTTTGGGAGTCATGAACAGATGATGGGGTCGCCGGATTCAGATGGAATACAACGTCGCAACAACAGTCGCCTCTGCGGTGTGTGAGGGGTGAGGGGGGCCGGTTTCGTGATGGGCAAGCTCGTGTAATCCCTCTGCAGCAAGCCCTCAACTCGGCTGTCTGACCCCCGACTCTCCCACCTGCCCAGGCTGAGCCAGAAGCAGTTTGCTGCGCTGGTCAACTTTGCTGTCGTGGGGGTGGCCACCGCGCTGGCGGCGGTTGTGGGGGGTATCATCCTGCTCACAATCTCAGGTGTGGGTTGCGGGGGTTAGGGTCATGTTGCGTGCCCAGATTTGCCCAGCTGGGCGTGCCGCGCGCCACATTTGATACCGAGTTTCGCAGGTAATACGCTCCAGGCAGGCCAGTGCCAGGCCAGGCACAAAAAGCATCATGCTGCCCGCTCACTTTTGCGCTGGCGGATTCAACGTCGCTTTTTCAAGCTTGGCCAATCCGCACGCGAGGGGGACCCTACGCTCAAGACACAGCCTCGAGCCCCACCGAGGGTCCGTCCCACGCTGATCTCTTTGACCCGCTTTCTTGCCTGCCCCCCACACAACGACTCGCCACCTGCAGCCCCCGACGCCTGACCCCGGCCGGGCGCCCCGCCTGCCCCATCCCCCACCCAACCCTCAAATATCTCAGGCAAGATGACCCCCTGGACGGGGCGCTTCTGGACCCTGCTGGACCCCACCTACGCCAAAAAGTACATCCCAATCATCGCATCCGTCAGCGAGCACCAGCCGACCACCTGGGCCACATATGTGTTTGACCTTCATATCCTGGTTAGTGGGCAGGCTCAGCGGGTTGGGGCTCCATGAGGGGGGGCAGGTCCATTGTCGTTGGTGGGGGATGAGGCATCACGGATGGGCGGGAGGGTGCAGAATCTGTGCCAATGGCTCTTGTGCCAGTCTCTCCATTATATCGTTCAGATTGCGAATGCACACACGCGTGCACGTGCACACACACACTCTCTCTCTCACTCTCTCTCTCTCTCTCTCTCTCTCTCTCTCTCTCTCTCTCTCCAACCCTCTCCACACGCACGCGCACGTGCGCGCACGCTCATGCACATACACACATACATACACATACATACACACACACACACACACACACACACACACACCCCTGCACCCACATGCCCTCCTCCCCCAGGTGTTTTTCGCCCCCGCGGGCATCTATTACTGCTTCCAGCGTCCTGGTGACGCGCAGGTGTTCCTCCTGACATTCGCCATGTTCGCCATCTACTTCAGTGGCATCATGGTCCGGTGAGACAAAAGTTCACATTTATCTGTCCAGTCGTACCAGGGGTGTGTCGCGTCGGGTTTGCCCGTCGTCTTGGGTCACGAGGGACCTGTCCGCGCCGCGCCGTTTTGGCGGGGTCTTGGTCAGCAGGGTGCAGGAGGCAGCAGCTCACGTGGGACGGGGCGCCTGTGACCCCCGGAGTTTGATGTGCACCAGGGGGATGCAGACGCAGTGGTGCACTGCAGGAAAGGCGCATAACAACCTGATGGCACTTTTAGGCCCCGTGCGGACGCGCTCTCCGCTGCTGCTGGTCACCACCCCCACCCCGCGGGGCGGACATGAACGCCCCAACCACCGCAGCCTGATGCTCGTCGCGGCCCCGGCGTTTGTGCTTCTTGGCGCCATGGCCATCAGCGAGACGCTGGACCGCGCGGCAAGAGACCTGCGGACGCCGGTGGAAGACGAGGGGGCGGACGCTGACAAGGCGGGGCGACCCAGCGAGGGGGGAGGGGCGGCCGGCAGGAAGAAGGGCACAAAGTGAGGAGAGGACTTGGAAAGGGCGGTTCACCTGAAAGTTCATGGCCCGGCTGCCCCAGGGCACCTTGTCTACAAGAACGACAAGCTCACGGCGACGGTGGCGCCCGGCCATACCACTCGGCTGGCGCTGCCTCCTGCAAGCTTGCATCGACGTTTGTGGTGCGCCTGTGTCAAGCCAACTCCCTCCTGCAAAGGGGTGCCCCAGTTTTGGTGAATTCAATGTCACCCCCCCCCCAAAAAAAACCTCAATCCAAACCCCGACCAACCACAAACACTCTCAGGAAGCTGTCTGCCCTGGACACCAGCATGCCGTGGCCACATGAGTACGGCGCCGCCACCCTGCTGCTGGTGCTGCTCGGCCTCACGGCCTACGCACGCCACGCGCGCTGGGTGGGTGCGCGCGCCGTCCCTTGTTCTGCGTGAAAAGACCCGAGTGCTGGCGTGTGCATCAACATCTAGAGCCAGGAGATTTTCGCATGCACACCTCCACGCATCCAGTCTTTTCAGCAGTTTGTGTATGTAGTTGCAACGCTCCTTGACAGGCATGTCCAGACCCCACTGGCCTGCATTTTGGTGGCCCTTGTGGATCCATCACATACACCCGACAACCCCACCCTGCCTGGCTACGTACCCTGTACTCCCGCC